ACAACGTCGGTAGCCACGTGTTGTGCTTGACACTGGACACTTACCATTCGCTGAAAAGAAACTTGCTTGTTGGTCTGCCACGAGTCGTCCGATACCAGGTCATCACCGCAACACCATCTCCCGACAAAAACGCATGTCCATAGTTAGCAATCACGTGAACTTATAAATTCCCGAACGCTTATAACTTGCCGTCGCTAAACGCCGTTCATTCATAGCGTCATCATTGCAAATAAACGTCTTCCTATTTCTTTTGATGTTTTTCATCATATTCCTCCTAAGCTGTACTTACAACATTATGTGTGTCGGTACTTCCGAAAATATTGCAACGGAGTTTGTTTTCTAGGAACGATAACGTAACAACCTTTACAACATCTCCCGGACCCCGTGAAACACAATATTTCGTGACGTTATTTTAGTTGTCATTAAAATGGTGAGGTAAGTACCGTAAATCACGAAGCAGTTTACTTCACGTCCGCTTCCACTGGTGTCTTGGAAGATTGAGTCTACTGAGCGTGCATTCCTGCAGAAGAATCTTTCATTGATAGAATATTGACACGTCAATCAATATTTGATACCTTCTTGGTAACATTTATTGCGAAAGCCCGTTACTTACTCCAAAACTTGAACCGCCTTACCACGGCGTAAAACCACGTTATGCATTCTGGGAATCATTCCCCCACTATGCTTGGCCAAGCTTGATTTTTAAGTTCGGCTAATATAGCGTTAATATCTGTCATGGCAGTTCAAATAGACTATTGAAATCGGAACTTCTTGTTTAGCGATGCCAGTACTCCTGACTGAGCCTGATCCATTCTAAGCGAGCGTGTATCAATATCTACCAGCATCTTGTGCATTTTATTGAATTTTCGCGTTGTTCATTGATAAGCCCGGGATTAATCTCAATGTCCCTGCATAAGAGAAGGATTACTTCTGGCCATGTTGCGGCTTCTTTAGCATTTGACGAAGGTATTTGACCATCCTGAACAAGCAAGGGAAAGAAATGAGTGGTCCTCGCAGTCTGGTTGATCCTGTGCTCACTCAAGGCTACCAGCTGATTGCAGCTAGCAGCCTTGTACTCGATAATTACGTTGTTTTTTATGTAATTCAATTCACTCAGAAGATACGAATCGGCAGCTGATAGTTCCTACTCTTCTGTTCAGGGTGTCGAACCGGAACCGAACCGAACCGAAAACCGGAACAGAACCGTTATTTTTAGCCGAACCGGAACTGAACCGAACCGAAACCTTCGCCGCCATCTTAGAACTGAACCGGAACTGAACCGGAAAAAAATATAACGGTAACCGGTTCAATACGGTTCACGGTATTTTTTTTTTTGTTAGTATTACAAATTTATTATTTGGGAATAAAAAATTGGCACGTGTATTCCTCTACGTATTGATCAAGTCGTCATATACAGAAATGCAATGTATAATAAATCCTGGTTTTTTGCGGCGCTTTCTTATTGGCACTATGATTAGCCATGTGTCACATCATCACGTGACGTCATGATGTCAAGACATGCTGTCAAGTAATGTCACATCACGTGACCCCGTGATGTCACGTGACTCACCGCGTTAAGTCGATTCAAATTGAGGATGTCGCTAGATCTATTAACGTTGTTGATACCGTGACGTCACATGACATAACAACTTCGCACTGAGAGTCACGTGACACAATGATGTACCAGATTGTCATGATCCCGAGTCGAATGCTCTGGTTCATGACAACCAGCATCGCCAAAACATTCGGGTAACGGCTCGTGTTCAACTCAAAGATTATGATGGGCCCGAGTCCCACTAGAGCTAGAAACAGAAACAAACGACCTCTACAAGCCTCAGACACATGCAGCATGTTCGCGAGGGTACCTTTATACGGCTTTGAGTTGTTCGGTGCTCGCGAAGTTAGCACGAGCGTTTACAAGCCTGCAAATGGTACCATCGTGTGCATGATACTCGTGTTTGAGCATAGCCTTCTTTATTCTACAAAGCCTGTCAAATCGCGAAATACTCTGGTTTAAGGCTAGCCGCTGGCGTTTGTTTCTGTTTGTCGCTTTAGTGGGGCACGGACATTATAGCTAAACGAAAACTATATCTGAATTTCAACCCATGCTCTCTGCTTTGCCAACCCTGCGTATGACTATGATAAAAACTGGCGGTGTATCTAATAGGATCAGATCACGTGACTGATAGTTCTAATTGGGAGTTGAGGAGGGGAAAGCTGTTTCATTTCTTTCTTTCCACTGTCTGCCATTTCGCCGAGGGGCAAACTAATGGGTGCCTTTGCAAGTTATCAACGTCAGGGATTACATCTTAGCGGTATTTATCGAACTTAAGGTAAAAAAAAAATGCTGCACGACCCATTTTACATGCATGCACCCCATTGAGGCTCCCAAACATGTTTTCGTTATTGCTGAACTGCCTCAGAAAGTTGTCCCGGGAATAGACGTGTTAAAGGGTCTAAATGTGACGTATTAGTTCGACGTTACATGGAGCTATTAGTGTGTACGGAAGGGATACCTGAGAAGAAAGATTCCAGTGGCCTCACGGGGATAGCCGAACGTTGGCAGCCGCTCTAAATCTCACAGGAGTGTCGTTCTCAAGTTCTCCAAGTTTCGACCGCCCTGTATTTTGTTTAAACTTCACAGTGTGGTGCAAAGTAAAAGCAAGAGAGATTTACTGTTAACAAGTGACACAAATATAATTGTCGAGTGAACACCACTCAATACGGAGCAGGCAATTCCTGAGGAATAAAAAGTATCCCGAGGAGCAATTAAAAAAAGGGAGTGGAAAGGGGGGTAGTTTGAAAGCATACTGTGTCGTAAAGATTCCTCTGCCCCGCATTTTCGGCGCAGACTAGAAAGCGTGGCCTGGAAGCGGTAGTGACAGATGGGTAGTTGGTACAACTTTTATTTGTAAAAACACACTTCCCAGAAAGCACGTTTTCGTCGTGCCAGATACTCGTGCCGTGCTTAACGACGATGCACCATCAAGAAAAATGTGTGTCTCTCAAATACATAGCTTGCACTGAGCGCGAAACTTTTGTAGCGTGCATTTTGCCCCACCGGATTTGATTTTCTCAGCAAGAACAACTTGCAATGACAACCAGTATCTAGTGCAATTACGTCAGGTGCAAACCATGTTAAATACTTCAGCTTTCTTTTGAAGTGCGACGTTCGCAACACCAGCAGTAGACGTCCAAGGTGTAAAGTTGTGTAGTATTTATAGCAGTATCGCGATGATATACTGCAGCCTAATGGAATGTTGGAGCACAAGACTGCTAAAGAACAGAGTCGTGAAGTAAGGTCCAAAAACAAGTGCACTTCAAACCTAAGATAACATTAGCCTCCCGAGGTAGTATCTCGCGAAGTTTCGAGCTGAGGCAAGCTGATGCCCAAAAGTGATTTATATTAGGATTCTAAAAATCTTCGTTTGCCCTGCGCGGAATCTATGTTTAATTAGGAATATCATTTTATGCATTTCTATGCAACTCTTTTTGCAGTAAAGCGTTGTGTAAGGGATTATTTAGAATAAATTGGGTGTCATCACCTTATTTCTGCCCATTTCGTTTATTTGCCTTCCGATATATCATGTGACCACAGTGTTTTTTGGCATACCCTGCAACCCAGTATTTTACACTGCAAGACAGCTAACAGAAGCACGTTGCCGAAGACTCAACAGCTGGCGTATTTTCGAGTATCGTCTTTCCGTGTCGATCTCAGGCGGTTATGTGAACTTCATAAAGTCAAATTTATCGATGATAATAAAAATATACTTAATTCCTGTCTGAAGATTTGGCAGCATAAATAGAAGATCCTCTCTTCAAAGATGCATAAGTAAATGCACCTTTAAATTATCCGAAAGATGTTCTGCAAATCTTTTCGGCGCTTTTATCCTCTATAGACACGTTATAGGTGATTTGGAAAAGCTTTAAATATATTTTTTTTTATTTTGAAGCTAATTTAAATAACTATGTGTTCCTCGCGCATATATAACTTCTCAAATATATAGAAGTTTGTTATCGCGTTTTTTGTGTTTCTATTATCGAGTTTTTTTCTTGGAACGAATGGTGGAACTATGACGATTGCACACTTAAACTCTCAGAAAGTGTCGGATTAAGTAACTTCCGAATTGAGTAGAGCATTGTCACAAAATTCAATAGCTACTTTTGTCCTTCAATGGTTATGGTGTTGTCCGTTCCCGTGTTTGTGAGCGGGGTGCGCGAGCGCTGAGGACAGGAGCGCGGGCTTAGGATTTTTTTTTTTTTTGTTTTTGTGCGAGATCGGAGGAAGAGAAAAAAGAAGAGGGGATCCCGGGCGCGCGACGGTGGTGGAGCACAAACCGCGGAGCAAGGTTGCGACGGCGTGGATGGTCGGCGCTGAGCAGGTCCGCGGCGGTATGGTTCTTCGACCACCGAGAGGGTATTCGACGGAGAGGGGTGTGAGTGCTTGTGAGTGAGAGCTGTGCGTCACTACAACACCCAAGCCACCACGGCTTTTCGACCCCGACTGGCGACGCAACGAACCGGACCTCTACGGGCACCTTGGAACGCTGACTCGGCTCTCCCCCTCCAAAACTGTGTGACAACCTCGATTTCACTTCTTATAGCCGCCCTTCCCTTACTTTTGAATTATTTTATATAAAATACTGTTCGTAACGTTGGCATGCTTTGCTCTCACTTCCTCCCGCCTCTCAGGATGTCTATCGCCAAGGTGTGGTCCTAACACCTGGACAGCGGTCCAAGTCAAATTCCAAATTTGTTTGTTTAAATGGGATCTTTAACATCCGAACCTGTGACAAACTCGCGTCCGCGACAGGACCTGCTGTCCACTGTGACGATCTATCCTGAGAGGAGGAGGGTGAGCGAGTGAGTTTGCCACGCCGTAGGGAGCGCGTTGGGAGGCTGACGCCGTTGCGGGAGCACACAACCCGGCTTGCCGATCGGGAGCAGAGGAGAGCTTCTAGAGTCAAACTATCCAGCAAAGGGTCCGCGCGACTTCAGCCATGGAGCTCCACGAGCTAGTGGCCTGCGGAAAAGAACTCGGGCTCAAGGGTTCGGCCCTTAAGGAATGGGCGGACCAAGAGAGGGAGAATACGAAAGCCGCGAGAGCGCAGGAGCAAGAGAAAAGTGTCGAAGCGGAGCACCGAACCCTAGAGCTGAGGATCAGGCTGCAAGAATTGCAGAACGCGTCGCCGATCCCTGTTACCATTAGTTCCGCCGAAAACGGGACCGGGACAACGCTATGGAAGAGTCCTCGGTGTTGGCTGCCCATCTTCGACGAGAAGAAAGACGACCTTGATGCCTACCTGATGCGCTTTGAGAGACTAGCGAGCGGGCAGATGTGGCCCCGCGAACTCTGGGCAACTGCGCTTAGCGTATGCTTGGCAGGGGAGGCACTTGGAGTCTGTTCTAGGCTAACCCCAGGGGATTCTGTCGAATACGATAACGTAAAGAAAGCGCTTCTGCAGAGGTTTTGGTTAACTGCGGGCGGCTTCCGAGACAAGTTTAGAAGTGCTAAGCCGGAGAAAGGGGAAACCGGTACACAATATGCGGCGAGGTTGTCTAGCCTGCTTGACCGTTGGGTCGACCTGTCCGGGACGGCGAAGGATTTTGCCGCCTTACGGCATTTGCTGCTCACGGAGCAGTTCGTTCGGAGCGTTCCGTCAAAAATGTCGCTTTTCTTAAGAGAAAGAAAGAGCAAACAGCTAGGCGAAATGGCTGACCTCGCAGACCGCTATCTGGAGGCCCAAGAACAGGAGCCGGCCAGGAGAGAGGAGGCTACACCAGATTCTGCGGCAAGTGGATCTCGACCGACATCGAGCGGTCAGCAGTACAAGGCCAGTAAACTTCTTAAGAAATGTTTTCTTTGCGGCAGATGTGGACACCTAGCGGCACAGTGCAAAAGCGGTCAGAAACCGAGCAGCCAAGCTGGGACCTACCGAAATTGCGGAAAGTTCGGTCACACGTCCATTCAATGTTGGAAACGGGAGGGAGGATCGCAAGTTTCCTGTGTTCAAGCAAGCAGGGAGGAGCTGGACGCAGTATACGGTCGTGTGAAAGGTTTCTATGTCCTGCTAAGGGAGGGCACCAAGGTGCCAGTGGTAAACGCAGTGTCCGGGACTTCTCGCCTGGTGGGAGACATGCCTGTAGTTGCCGGAAAGCTTCACGGAAAGGCTGCCACTGTGTTGCGTGACACAGGCTGCAACACTGTCGTAGTGCGCCGAAGCCTCGTACCAGACGACAAACTTACCGGAACGTCGAGTCTCGTATACTTGGTGAACGGGACTGCGAGGGTCTTGCCCGAGGCCAGGGTGCATGTTGAGACTCCTTTCTACAGTGGGAACGTCCTGGCTAAGTGCATGGAGAACCCTTTATATGACCTGATTTTGGGTAACCTCCCTAACGTGCGCGCTCCCAGCGAACCGGAAGCTGACTGGAATAGACCGGGGAAAACTGAAGTGGGTTTGCCACACGATGAGAAGCAAGATGTAGAGATTCGTGCCACCGCAGCCATGGAAACAAGGTCCCAGAGACAGGCGTGAAAGAACGCCACCCCGGTGAGAGTGCCCATAATTGAAGGTGCACCTGCGAAGCCCGAGGAACTTGCGACACTACAAAAAGAAATCAGCCGTCTAAAGGGGCTCTTCGACCGTGTCGGAAAGATAGCCAACTGCAGAAACTCGGAGGACACAGAAGAGTTTGTCATGCACCGGGGACTGTTGCACCGAGTTTTTCGGACATCAGAGCGGAAATTCTACCAGTTGGTGCTCCCTGGGAACTAAGGGACGGTGTGCTTCATATGGCTCATGACGGCATTTTGGCTGGATACCAAGGAGCAGAGAAAACCACTCCGTATCGTCAGCGAGTTTTACTGGCCCGGACTCCAGGCGGGCGTCAAACGATTTGTAAGATAGTGTGACAAGCGCCAAGACAACGAGCAGTTATATCTTGCATCTGCATCGGCACATCAGTGGAGGGAGGAGAGTGCGATGGAATCGGCTCGTCTTCAGGCGGAGTGCAATCGCCTGGAAGAGATGATAGCACTTCTGGAAGCTAAGGAGGACCTACAAAAAAGTGCTGATAAGGCATTTGAGGATTTCACAGTACAAAGTGAAAGCTTCCAAAGGGAGGAAGCTTTGGTGCCGACAAGTGTCAACGGTCTCGATCCATTGGTAAAGGTTGGTGGCCAGATGAGAGGCGCGGATGCGTCCTTTGGAGATTCAGAACTCTATCCCAGATCAACTACGGAAGCTGAAGCTTCAGGCCTGACGAACCCAGGGGACACTGAGGTATGTCCCGTGGTTGTAAGTAGAGATCCTAAGAAAAGCACAACGAGTACTAAGAGAGGGAAGCATGAATCTATGAGTGAAAAAATTAAGCGCGAGCTTCGTTTGAAATGCAAGTCAAACTCGTAAAGAATGTTGCTCACGCAGCGCAAAGGAAAGGTCATCAGGCGACGAGACCGCTCGCCGGTCAGAGACCGCCAGGCAGTGGAAAGTCATCCAAAAGACAAAGCACGTGCTATGCTAACGTAAAAGTCTGGATCATCCGGAATGGGAGAGATCATGCGAAGTTTACCTTTAATTCTGAGATCTGGTTGAGAGTCACAGTAAGCTGGGAAGACAGAAGGCCAAGGATTGGAGGTTAGATGAGTAATCAATGAATTGCATATCTCATCGAAAGATTAAGACTGGGTTCTCTCGTAACCGGTTATGCTAATTACTCGAAAAAAATTTTTGTTTTCGCTTTCGAAGTTTGTGAATTTTTGTTATGGTATTGCAAAACTGGGTGTTATCGTTGCTTGTCAAACTTTCGGATTGCTGATGTGTTTCGCAAAGACATTTGAAAAGCGAATCGAAGTTTCTCGATAGCTGGGTCACGAAGTAATTTTTGATACGTTCGAATCTGTGTGTACCTAAGTGAAGTGTCTTCTGTTTGGTCTATAATTAGTGTGTATTGAGAAAGCTGTAGAGTGAGTTAGTTCTTTAGCAGAGTCCAAAGTGTTCCTTTTTATGTGGTCTATGAATAAATTTTGAATGGTTGGGTGAATTACCGTTACTGATTGCATTGTTTCAGGACGTGCTTGAGCAATAGCAGTGGTAAAACGTGAAGACATAGTGCGCATTGAGTTTTGTGATTTTTTTTTTAAATATTCCTGCGTGAATATTTTTTTGAAATAAGGGGTAGTGTCACAGAATTCAATAGCTACTTTTGTCCTTCAATGGTTATGGTGTTGTCCGTTCCCGTGTTTGTGAGTGGGGTGCGCGAGCGCTGAGGACAGGAGCGCGGGCTTAGGATTTTTTTGTTTTTGTGCGAGATTGGAGGAAGAGAAAAAAAGAAGACGGGATCCCGGGCGCGCGACGGTGGTGGAGCACAAACCGCGGAGCAAGGTTGCGACGGTGTGGATGGTCGGCGCTGAGCAGGTCCGCGGCGGTATGGTTCTTCGACCACCGAGAAGGTATTCGACGGAGAGGGGTGCGAGTGCTTGTGAGTGAGTGCTGTGCGTCACTACAACACCCAAGCCACCACGGCTTCTCGACCCCGACTGGCGGCGCAACGAACCGGACCTCTACCGGCACCTTGGAACGCTGACTCGGCTCTCCCCCTCCAAAACTGTGTGACAACCTCGATTTGACTTCTTATATTTTTTTTTCGTTCCTTCTTTCGACTGTGTGTACGTCCTGTGCGCCCTTCCCTTACTTTTAAATTATTTTATATAAAATACTGTTCGTAACGTCGGCATGCTTTGCTCTCAATTCTTCCCGCCTCTCAGGATGTCTATTGCCAAGGTGCGGTCCTAACACCTGGACAGCGGTCCAAGTCAAATTCCAAATTTGTTTGTTCGAATGGTATCTTTAACATCCGAACCTGCGACAAGCATGAAATACCACTTTGATCTATTTAACAAAAATCATCAATTAGCGAGGGTGATGTTTATTTGCAAATTAAATTGACAGGCATTTTGTCAAGAGCAAACCTCAACATCCAGGCTGTGCCAGTTTACCCAATATAAAAAAATGTTCACATGGGTAAGCACTGTTTTAGGTCAGATTCGATCTCAGTACGAAGGTCCTCATAGATTAGAGTGAAAAATTTCAGCCACTCATTTTCGCATGATTCGTCGCCCGCATCATGGTGCTGAGAGCAAACAATGCTAGTTAGAAAAACAAGCATTGCGATTGCCACTTAGTGTTTCTATAAAATATAGAGTGGAAGGCCTTGTCCCGTGACTTTCGTGACATTTTGAAAATTACATTGCCTTACGCTCAGTCGTCTCGTAATCATATATATATTGTGACACGTATTCCGTAAAACACATTTTATGGTATATATTGCGACGAGGTGCCCATTTCATGACTTTATTCAGTTCCGGGGCGCCCCGAACCGAATCGGGCAAAACCCCGATTCAAGATCTAATACTGCGACAAAAAGTTGTACCAATCACGGGTATTTTAGGCAACTTACTTCACTTCGGGAAAACATTTCGATTTAGGTAAAATGTACATGACTCTGGTAGATGAAGGGATGTTGAGTCGTATAAACACGACGTTTTGTATGTTAATGTAGATTTTCTTTTCTTGTTGTGCAGGAATAAATAACAATTTTTTTTAAATTTTGGTACTTGAAATTGAAACTGGATTGCACAAACGATAAAAAAAAAACTATATACTGTAAACGCCTTATTTTTCGTGGGCTTAATATTTCGCGATTTAGGTCAAAGCTGAAGTTTTAGAATAATTCACGGGTTGTAATTTTCTCGACGCGGTGGAATCTCAATATAAATTTCAATGTGTTTACATTTTACCGAAATTGTTCGCAAGACTCATTTTTTCGCGAATTGTAGGCGATTCGCGAAATTGTCACAAATAGGTCCTCACAAAAATCAGATCATTTACAGCAGTTAGTTTCACGGCCGAAATAGTGCCTATTGACAGAACAACGCGAAAAATATATTCCCAATTTAGCGGTTCAAACCGGTTCAAACCGGTTCGAACCGGTTTGAACCGTTATTTTTTGCACCCCGGAACTGAACCGGAACTGAACCAAAATCCGTGAACCCGAACCGAACCGATAAAAATATCGGTTCGACACTCTGTCTGTTGGTGAGCTTTACCATGACAGTCGTCAAAGATGTGCACCCAAGCAGGGTTTTCAAGACTGCGCAGGAAAGCGTGGAATGGAAACTGAAGGAGAGCCGCAGCCTGAACGAGCAAGAGGACGAATTGTGTGGTCCACATTATCCCGTACTCACTTCTTTACGTACTCACTTCTTACCGATCCCGTACTCACTTCTTCACTAGTGCATTAAGCATATTGAGCGACATGCAGTGACGTATATAGAGTTGAACAGCAACTTTCGGTATTCGACACCAATTTACCTGAGACTGAACAGAAAGAATAGGGGCGCGACGTTCATATGCATACCCACTTAAGATCTCTCGGACATATTAAGTTCTGTTAATGTATGAAGCAGAATCTGCATGTTGTACCTAGTCGTGTCAGGTTATGTCTCTTTGTATTGGCATACGTGCTTCAAACAGTGTATAAAGATATGTGAAACGTATGCGACGAATTTTCTTGTAGATATACCGGCTGTACTTAGTAAATTTTCTTAAAGATACATCCGACATCCTGTCAATTCTTTGAAAATATATGTTTGCCATAGGTGAACAATGACGAGAGCCAGCCACGCACGCTGAGAAACACACGCTAACATGTGTTACCAAATAGCACTTTTATAATGAACCATGTATCGCATATAGCTTAGTGTCGTCTGCTACACGCCGTCGTTTTGCGGTGCCAAATGGCCATGGTAAAACCAACCAAACAGCTGTTCCTTTTGTTTGTTATGCATAAATATCTACCGAATCTTCCGAACTTCGGCTCGTCATTAAGAATTCGATGATTTTCGTGATACTGACTGAAGAGCAGTGAAGGGACGCATTTCGGCACAGATTAGAGCCCGATTGTTAGCCCAGATTAAAGAAAGTGAAAATGCAAACAAGGTTATATTGCACGCACTGCGTTTCGAGTATACTGGATGCTTTTCTGCTACACTTTCCAGTTCCTGACATGAATGGGTGAATGGTGGCGACTTTTGTGATGCGCGCTTTCTTTTTCCGACGTACCATGGGTCTTCTCTATTAACTGAGTACGTCGGACGTACACGGTTAATCATAAAAACGCGAAAAGCGCCGGACATCGGCACTTCTACGCGTGTTTCTTCACAATCCGGTAGTTTTTCTGCCTAGGTTAGAGTCCAGAATTAGTACCTTTCCCAGCCCTTATAGTTTCTATGCGGCGAACAAATGAGCATAACTTTGCCTGCGCGTAAACCAGGCAAACACTAACAAGATGTCATGAACGGTTGAACTTGTCAACGAGTTCGTGGAATGCGTGGTGGTTGTCATCTACAAAATCCCATTGTCATGCGGCCGGGTTTATATAGGACAATCGGGACGCTGCGTCAATAAGAGAATTCGTGAACATGCCCTTTCCCTGCGGCCAATGAGAGGAGGACACTTATAAGTACACTGCGGAG